ATTGTCAAAATATTCTTAGAAATATATTCTATTTGATATACTTCTACAATGTGCTTAAAAAATATCTTTTCAAATATTTGCTTATAAATATTATGAAATAATAAAATAATATAAAATAATTTTGATTTCTTTTTATGGCATATATTTTTTATTTATCAACTAATAATTACTGTCTAGAATAAACATATTCACTTTTAAATATTACACGTTATACATCGAATTTATAAGAAAATTTGTAATACACTTTGTATAGATTATATTAGATCTATAAATTAGTTTCGCTTTTTTGTTGGATTTATTGTTTTTAAATGATAAAAATAAAACAAATACAAGAAAACTACATTATTTGTTCAATTTTCATCCTTCGTGTACATGGAAAAAAGTTGACCAGTCAAAATAAAACATTGCCAAAATGTTTTGTTTAAAATATTAAAAATTACAAAAGTGTCCTTCAAATAATAAAACAAAATTATATTTGCTTTAACTATGACAGAGTACCACTCTAATATTAAATGATTTGAAATTGTAGGAAATATTTCCAACGAGTAATTCAAATTTAGTTAATTCATTACTAAATTTATGTGATACATTTATGGATCGATACCGAAATAAAAAAATTGTAGAAACAATATCACAGGGTGATCTTAGAGCACAACTTGAAGTAAATCAAACATATTTATATACCAAATTTTATAAATTTGTTAAACTTGTATTATTATTTCTAGGGAATATTTTTCTTTTCAGCCATATGGTCGTTAGGAGCATGTCTTGATCTAAAAAGTCGTTTAAAGTTTGACTTATTATTTAGGGCATTATTAAAAAAAAAATTCCCATTAGCAGTTTCTCATGCTTTAATGATTCCTATCGAAATATGTCCATCTCCTAAAAGACCTTACTCTAATATACCACCAAAAGAAGAAACGGTATTTGACTATAGATTTGTAATAGATGGCCAATCTAGAGGTGACTGGATTTCATGGTCAGAATATGTTTTAGTGGAACAACCTATACCACAAGGTATACCATTTAATGAAATAATTGTTCCGACTATTGATACAATGAGACACAACGTAATTTTATCAATGATGATTGAAAATGACAAACCATTTATGTTGGTGGGAAAAACTGGTACAGGAAAATCTGCTTACACATTGGTAATGCAGTTAGTTAAAAAAAAATTGTTTAAATTATTCATTTACCTAAAAATATTTTTTTTAGAATTTCTTATTAAATAAAATAGATAATTCTCTTTATCGACCATCATTTGTAAATTTTTCGGCACAAACTTCAGCTAATATCACTCAAGATATAATAATGAGTAAAGTAATTAAAAAAAGGCGTGGGGTTTATGGATCTTTACCCGGTTCCAAATGTATCATATTTATCGATGATATAAGTATGCCCCAAAGAGAATATTATGGTGCTCAGCCTCCCATTGAACTTCTGCGGCAATTATTGGATAAAAATCCATGGTATGATAGAAAAGATCGTACTACAATAATTTTACAAGATGTTTTATTAATTTGTGCTATGAGTCCTCCATCTTTGGGAAACACCGTAACGCCTAGATTTAGTCGCCACTTCAATATTATTGTCACAAATTCGTTTGATGATGAAACTATGTTTTCAATTTTTAGTAACATATTACAATGGCATTTAGACACAAGGTTATACAATTAAAAGGAAAACTTAAGAAATAAAATAAATTTATGTAACATTTTCAGAGGTTTTAATAATGATTTCAAACCATGTATTTTAAAAATCGTTCGGTCTACGTTAGAAATACACAAAAGAAGTATTGGATTTTTACTACCAACTCCAAATAAATCACATTATTTATTTAACTTGCGAGATTTTTCCAAAGTTATTCAAGTAAAGTAAAATGTATTAAAATTTATTATAATAATACAAAATTTAAACATTTCTACAATAGCATTTAATACATTGTCGAACTAAAATACATAAAACCAACAGTTTGGATTTTTATTTTATTTCATTAATAAATAATCTAATCCTTAAAAAAATATAGCTCGTATTTTATATATTTAACTGAAATAAACTTATAATTTCCGGATTTCTCCTGTAAGTAATAAACAATTAAACATACCTTCAAATAAATTATAAAAATTAGTTAACTACATTTTATGGTAGATATGATGAAGATTATTATTCTTTAATTAATGAAATACATTAATAAATATATAAACAACATTTAAATACATATAATCAAATAAAGTATGACAAAAGCCGAAAGTTTTACCATTTAACTATAAAAAATCACAAATCGTGTCTAAGGAAATTTTTAAAAAAAAAATACAATTTTTAAAAATAATCGATAGTAATAATTTATATTTTCACTTTATATTTAAGTAAATTTTTGAAAACTTGACAGATCATTACAAAATTTTTATTGACAATACATATATACAATTTATCCTAATTAACGTAAAACCACTTCATTAAAAATTAGTAGTTTTGTTTTTAATATCTTTGTTCGAATTTGTAAGAAAAAATTATTCCGTAATATGATACTCAAATATTTGATTAAATAATTAGTTTAGATAAAAATGTTTTGTATAAAATATACAATATATATAATATATTTTAGTACCGTATTATAGATACAGATTTTTCGCTAATAAAATTGTTACGGGAAACATTTAGTTCTATAATATTTTCTGTGAATATCATACTTTGTAAGAGATATAACAAAAAACGCAAAAACCACTCTTACAGATATATTTTCAGCCCCTGTGCAGCAGGGGCTGAAAACGTCACTCAATTTTAACCAAATTTTGTACAAATCATATTTTTGACTAATGATACCTTTTTAGAGGTGTATTAAATAAATTTTTTCATAAAAAATTATCCTATACATAGTTAAGTCTAACTAATTTAACCTATGTATAGCTAAGAATCGTCCCAATATTAATTATTTTAATACTCATTATTTATTTTTATATTTCAACTGTACAGGAAATAATTTATAATGTTGAAACGGAAGTTTAATTATTTTATAGGGTATTATGTTTTCAGTACCAGCTACTATAGAAAATGATATTTCTATGAAGCGGTTATGGATACATGAAATTCTCAGGGTGTACTTTGATCGTTTAGTTGACAATTCAGATCGATCATGGTTTTTTAATAATCTTTATGAGGTATGCAAAGAATTTCTAAATGAAGATATGAATGAGATGTTTTCATATTTAAATGACGAAAAAAATCATAAGGTTATAATTACAATTATTACACGATAAATACATCAAAAAAATATTTAAAATTATATTTTTAGGTTGGACAAAATGAACTACGTAAACTGATGTACTGTGACTTTTCTGACCCTAAGGCAACTAATAAATATTATATTGAAATTCAAGACTTAAATAAGCTCCGTCTTACTATCGAAGATTATTTAAAAGATTATAATAAAATGAGTAAAAAGCCATTGAATCTTGTTTTGTTTACATTTGCTGTTGAACATCTATCAAGAATTTGTCGTATTTTTAAACAACCTCGTGGTCATGCCTTATTGATTGGCTTAGGAGGTTGTGGTCGACAGTCACTTACAAGAATTGCGGCTCATATATCAGAATACGAATTATTCCAAGTACTAAAATTTAATCAATACGATAAATACTTGAATGATAGTAATAATAATAATAATATTTGAATTTAACTAGATACAACTAACCAGTATTTATGGGATGAATGAATGGCATGAAGATTTAAAAGATATTTTCAAACGCACATCGATTGCATTTGATCAAAATACAGTTTTTTTATTTACTGATTCAGAGGTAAAAAAGAACTTCTTAATTATTAAAAATATATATATTTTAAATTTAGATCAAAGATGAAAGAATGATAGAAGATATTAATAATTTGCTAAACTCTGGGGAAGTACCAAATTTGTTTACCACAGAGGAAAAAATAGAGATCTGTGAGAAAATTCGCTCATTGGACAGGCAACGCGATAAAACTATTCAGGTATAGTAGATTTAATTTTAAATTTATTTCTTCATATTTATTATTTGATAAAAAAAATACTAGACTGATGGCAGTCATGCAGCTTTATTCAATCTATTTGTTCAAATTATTAGAGAACAACTTCATGTTTCACTTGCTTTTAGTCCGATCGGAGATGGTCTTAGAACAAGAATTCGAAAATTTCCGTCATTAGTGCAGTGCTGTACAATTGATTGGTTTCAAGTAAGCATATAAGAATGTCATTTAAGAATTAAACAAATATATATTACATAATAATTTTAAAAAATTAATAGATTTTTAATAGTTTTGTATTTATTTAATAAAATGATGTTTACCTATAATTATGATCACGAATATATAAAAGTTACATTAAAATATTTATCAAACATTTTAACAATACTATAAAAATTGTATCACATATTGGTTATAGACTTGGCCGTCAGATGCTTTACAAGCAGTTGCAACAAAATTTCTAAGTTCAGTCAATTTAACAAAACATGAAAGAGAAGTCAGCATCAAAATGTGCCAAATATTCCATACATCTACACAAGACTTATCTGTTGAATTTGAGAGTAAACTAAAAAGAAAAACGTACGTTACACCTACTTCATACTTAGAAATGATATACACATTTAAAGAAATATTGGAAAGAAAGAGATTGTAAGTAAAATTAAAAACAATAATTATAGTAATTATATATATTTCTCTTTTACCATTTGAATATTTTAATTTGAATTTAAAATGTATTTCCAAAATCTGCGTCAGTAGTTAAATCATATCGTGTTTTGACTAATGACATACATTTTGAATATTACGACAGAGAGCTTACTTCAGCAAAAAGTCGTTATGAAGTTGGTTTAGAAAAATTAAAAAATGCAGCAAACGATATAGAAATTATGCAAGCAGAATTAAAACATTTACAGCCAAAAATAATGGCAGCATCCTCCGAAGTAGAAGTTATTATGAAACAAATAGAAAAAGAAAATGAAGAAATATCAAAAGTAAAATTGATGATAAAAAAAGACGAAGAAGAAGCACAAATAACAGCAGGAAAAGCACAGAAAATAAAATATGAATGCGATTTACACATGGAAGCCGCTCGACCTACATTAGAATCTGCATTGTCTGCTCTTAATACTTTAACATTTACGGATATAACTTTTGTGAAGTCGATGAAAAATCCCCCTAAAGCTGTAAAATTAGTTATGGAAGCAGTTTGCACTATTAAAGGGATAAAACCTGATAAAATACCAGATCCGACTACAGGAAAAATGACAGAAGACTATTGGGGACCGTCAAAAAAGTTACTAAGTGATATGAAGTTCCTAGACTTATTAATGAATTTTAATAAGGATGAAATATCAGAAAAAACAATGAAAATTATCGACGAAAAATATATTTCAAATGTAGATTTTGATCCTGAAAAGGTTAAAAAAGCTTCTGTTGCTGCTCAAGGTTTATGTAAATGGATTATAGCAATGTCAAAATATGATAAAGTAGCCAAAGAAATAGCCCCGAAAAAAATTGCATTGGTCGCAGCAGAAGCTATGTACAACAATGCTATAGAAGCTCTTGATGAAAAACGATCACAACTAAATGATGTCGAAATAAAACTAAAAGCCATCCAAAACAATCTTGATGTTAATAAACAGAAAATGACTATATTTGAAAATGAAGCCGACGCTGTTAAGACCAAACTTCAAAGAGCAGAAGATCTCATCGGGGGATTAGGTGGAGAAAAACAACGTTGGGAACAGACGGCGCATGATTTAGGGATTCTTTATTTAAATCTACCCGGTAAAGTTAATAAAGTCTGCAAGGTAAAAACGATGTTAATCCATTTCTATACATTTTTCAAAAGAGGAAAAACAAAGTTTTAATTTTTTATTTCTTTAATAATAAAACAAAAATAAAGTATTTAATAGTAAAAATAATAAAAAAATTGTCACCGAGTGTATTTTATCATAGACTGCTAATAGACTATCAAATTAAACCATTAATTGAATATCGAAAAAAATGGACTAATATCGTTTTTATCCTATATGTTTTAATTTTCAACATTCATTTTGAAACATGGCATTAAATATTTAAAAATTAACTGTCCTCAGGTGATTTATTAGTGTGTTCTGGTGTAATCGCATACTTAGGTCCATTTACTATGGATTTTAGAAATAATCAAATTAAACATTGGATTAAAGAAATTCAACAAAATAATATAACATGCTCTCAAGATTTTCAGTTAAATACAGTTCTTGGTAAGCCTGTTGAAATAAGAGCTTGGAACATAGCTGGATTGCCCACTGATGCGTTTTCTATCGATAATGGAATTATTGTCTCGTAATAAATATTTAATAATATACTTATATAACATAAATATCATGAGAACTTTTAATTGATAAAATATTAGGAGGATAAAATTTAAATTGACTTAGAAATATATACAAGTCATAATTTTCACCAAAAATTAAGGCATATATTATTTCATTAAACTTAATATAAAAGATTACCAATGGTATGGAATGCAAGATTCTATCATTTATATCATATTATTATAGGATAATACTTTGTTAGGAGAATAAATGTACTTCTTTACTATTATTCTCAATATTTCTTATTGTAACATTTTTTATAAAACGTTTTTATAATTTTTTTAAATAAACTTTGTTTTACACTACTACTTTTTTCAAAATACTGGTTCAAAAGTTGTTATAAACCGGTCATTCTATTAACTAGATCAATTTATATTTTGCAACTTAGTTAAATACATTCATTTGTCATGAACCACTTAATCGAAAAATAAAAATAATATAAGTAACTTTTTTATTTGTTTCTTAAGGTAAATTTTTTAATTATAAAAATAATTTTATAATGTGAATTAAAATGTTCATTCCTCATACCTTATATATGAGTCAACTTTAATTTCTCAAAAGGCATCATCTCTAATTAACCGACTTATTTAATAGACAACAAACATCTATAAAAAAAAAATTATATTGACTTGTTCATTTTTGATAAAGTAATACCAGTTAAAATAAAAAAATTGAAAAAATTAGCCATTTTTAAATTTGTAATTTTTTTGGAGATTTCCCCCATTTACGGGGTGCGAGGGAATTTTTTTCAATTTTTGAGGTTAATGTTTTCGACTAGATATGATTTATGATATTTTGACATATCGTTGAAAGAAATCGGTTCGGTGAGAGCTGAGAAAAAGTAGAACAGATACACAAAAAAAAAACACATCATAGTAAAACCAATAACTTCTCAGCTTCGCATTGAAGCTAAAAGTTATGGCAATTTTAAGAAAAGAAACTGTAAAATGTTTTGATGTCTTTACCTATCATTTGGTATATATTTTTTTTAATCTGACCCTTAACCTTCCCACAGGGGGGCGATTCAAAATGGTAACTTTTCACAAAAATTAAATATTAGACTTTATTTTTTTTTTAATCGGACAATTTCCCTTAATACAGGGTGGGGTTTATAACTTAAAATTCATATGGAAAATGTTTTATAATGCATAAGGGATGAACTTTAAAATTATTACATAATTAATAATTCAAGAATAATATGTTATTCAAGGTTATTATTTATATATAAATTTAACGGGCTTAGCCCTTTTTACACTATCAGATATTTAACAATTTCATAAAATAATATCAGTATAAATATAATTCACAACGATTCAATGGAATATTTGAAATAATATATGAAAAAAAAAATTACCGTTTCAAAGTATAAAATAAGAAAAAAGAAGTGGCTAACAAGATAACATATGTGGGTCCATATTGGCACTATTTAAAATTCTTCTAATCGGCTCATTTTGTAAGTAAATTGTAGAACTAATTTGGATGAAGAAATGAAAATGGGAACAAGAATTTCTCTGAGGAACTTTAAAATTAATTAACTACAAAAGATACATTGAGTTAATATTACTATCTAGCAATTCATTTCAAAATTTAATATCTGCAGCAATTCCGCGGATATCAACCCAGCGACATCAAATTAAGTTTGTTTGCCACTGGAGAATAATCATGCGGGTCATGCTGGATACCCAAAATAAATCCAGCATGCCTCAAAAATCTCCGTTGTACCCTTTCAGTTTGATTGGAATCCGATGAAGAATAAGGATTCCAATCAATAGAACCATATTCAATAATTGGCCGGACCAATGAAGAATATAAAATTCTTAAGGAAGAATTTAGTTTTAATTTAGCTGCTAATCTAATTACAAAGCCGAGCTTTTTAAACACTTTACAACACACCATTTCTATATGAGACTTAGGGTCCAATGTTTTAGTGGACTTAAAACCAAGATCAAGTTGTTAAGAAGAGTACAAAATCAGTTTGTCGTACAACATTAGCATCGCAAAGGCTATAAGAAAAAATAATACGTGACCGAGACCATGTGAATGTCATAACACAGCATTTTTCGAAGTTCAGGGTTACACCTATGTTTAAGCACCACGCTATAAATCTATCTAAATTATTCGGTAGTTTAATACAGTTATCAATAGATTTAACTTGTAAGAAAAGTTTCATATCATCAGCAAAACACAAAAATTTACAGTTTAGTAATAAATTTTTTATACTATTTACAAACAACGAAAATAATATAGGTGATAAATGACCACCTTGAGGTACCCCAGAGGAAAAGCAATAAAGGACCTCAACTAGAATAGCAACTTACCACATAATCCATCCGGACCAACAGACCAATTCTCTTTCAAGTAATAAAGCTCCTGGTAAACATCGTAAATACTTAAACTGATTGAACTGGGTAAGTCATATTGTAAAATTCCTAGTTGATCGGTATTAAGATTTATTTGATTAAAAGAGTAGGTAGAGGAGAAATAAGAGAAAAAGAGATCAGATATTTCTTGTTAATTTGAAGAGATTACGCCATTGAAGGACAATACTTTAAGAATACTATTAGAAGTCCTGATATTATTCACAAACTTCCAAAAGTGTTTAAGATTATTTTTAAGTGATATTTCAGCAATTTCAACGTACTTAGAAACATTTTTTTGACTCAAATTTAAATTTGGCACGCCAAAAAGAAAATTTCTTTTAATTAGAAGCATTAGTGTCTAATTTATACAACACATGTTTCTTTTGAAACAGGATAAGTTTAAGCTCTTTAGAAAACCACACAGGGTAAGTAGAAACATTAAAGCGACGTTTGGGTACAAAATCAAGATCACATTTATGTAACGCATCATAAAAGACATTGGTAGCTGAGTCAGCGTCAATGGCTCTAAAGTAGATTTCCAATTTCTCCAATAAAAGAACAAATATTAATAAAATTTGAATTTTTAAAATCAAAAAATTCATAAGAAATATCACAGCCAGTTAATCGTACATTAGATCTAAAGGATAAACATAAAGCAGGATGATAAGCATCGAGTGAGACTAGAGAGTCGAGACTCTTATCTACTGTAAGACAGTTATTATTACAAAATACGAAGTCAAGAATAGAGCTATAGTCATTAACTACAGAATTCTTTTGAAAAAAAAACCATTCATAGCATATGTTTCAGGAATTGAAGAACCACGAAAAGTTGATTGACAGGAATATAAAATTCCAGTATCATCGTTATTCCAAATTATTTCAGGTAAGTTGTAGTTACTACAAAACATATAAGTATAGTTAGGATATTGCTGAATGATATACTCAACAGATTGTGTGTGGGTATCATAAAGACTAGAGGGAGAATGAGGAGTAATATAGACATCACCAATTACAAAAAGATTAGCACCAATAGAAAATTTAAGGAAGATACATTACAATTAAAAAAATCAATTTTAGTACGGAGATCACTACAATTTTGATAGAATCCTTTAGCAAAAACCTAGAAGATGAATTTTCTAGGAGTAGCGATGATTTGAATGTCAATCCGTTATCCAGTTTTTTAACGCTGACGAAGAAATGCCAAGCATACCATTCTTATAAACAATTTTCAAATCTTTCTCTCCATTAGAAGTCTTCTGATCAAGTTTTTCATGACATGCACGCAGCAGTTGACGTACCAAAAGGATTTTATCACGCACGATACGAAAATTAACAACGAATGTTACACCAGCACGTTTACACGAATTATAATTTGTTTAAAGTTGAACTGCTAATTCTTTCGTCTCAAAGATAATTTTCAGTGGACGATTGAAATTCAGACATATTTTACCTAAACGAACAGCCTTGAATGTAGGTGAAACAACTCTGCTAAGAGGCTTAAGAAGAGCAACCAATGCCTTTATATCATCACTGATACGTTTCATCATAGATGAAGATGAAGACTCCGGTACTGCATAAGCAATAATGTTAGTCGAACATTTTTCTCATTCAAATGATTCCTGTAGTACTTGACTTACAATAGTAGATAGTTGAATTGTAACATTTCAAGTCTATAACTTGATTATTTTGTTATTTAAAATTTCAAGTTCACCACACAATTTGATATTTTCATTTTTTAATTCAGATATTTGATTCAATAAATTTTTAAAATCCTCTCTAAGTTCATTAAATTATATATCAAGACCATCAGACAAACTCTTATTGGCTGATAGAATGTCAGATTTGAAGGATTTCATTGCAGACATAAGATCCTCATTCGTTATAGAATTTTGTATTAATAATAAAGTAAATAATAATGAAAACAACATATTATACTAAAATTAATACCTTCTCAACTACTCAGATATTTATAAAAAATTGTCGAAATTTACCGAAAATCGAATTTTTTTGTATTTACGTGTAAAGAGGAATTTTTTAATTTTTGAAGGTAATATTTTCAACTAAATATAATTTATGATCTTTTGACATTTTGTTGAAAAAAAATCGGTCCTTTAAGAGCTAATGAAAGTGTTAAATAAACAAAAAAAAAACCATTGGTAAAATTAATACGTTTTAAGCATCGCATTGATGCAAAAAGCTGAAGAAATATATTCAAAATTATTTTTATTTTGTAAGTAATTAAAATAGTTATGATTAAAAGAGATTGCTGGAATATTTCTAATATTTTTGGATCTTTTGAGTTTTTTTGGGCCTAAACAGTGAAATGTATAATTATGAAATAAAAAATTAAGGTCTTAAAGCTTTTATTTTAATGAAATTACCTCAAATATTCATAAATTTGTTAATTAAGGTCACGAATTTTATTTGTTTTAATCAATGTTTTAAAAGCACTTATATAATTTGTGGGGTGGAAAACCCAAAATAAATCTTATGTTTTCATGATATTTAGTCATATTATAATTTTTAAAACCATTTTATGAAAAAAATTCATATAAACAATATTTTAATTTAGATACTCAAGAAGATCAACATTAATGATTGACCCTCAAGATCAGGCCAATAAATGGATCAAAAATATGGAAATGGATAACTCACTATCAATTATACGCCCCAGTTCCCAAAATTTCATGAAAATATTAGAACATGCTATTTCTAATGGTCATCCTGTAAGAAATAAAACAAAATTTTCAATTATTAAGTGAAATTATACAAAGATATTTTTTGAAAAACTTAACTATATATGAAGGATTACTGAATTTATTCTAAAAAATTAATTTTTCTTTCTATTGTCCCTAGAATAGTATAAAACAATATTTTTAAGTTATAGTATATCTTTATTGAAATTTTAATAAGACAATTTTTTTATATTTTGATGAATTTCTGATATTACAAATCTCAGATAAAATTTTCAAATTAAATTTGTTATTATATTTGTATAGTTATAGTATATAAGTATGAAAACTGTGTCAACCCTGTAAAATTTCAAAACAACATATTACATAAAGATTAATTTATTGTTGATCACTAAAAAATAATAATTTTTAAATATTTTGTTTGTAATATTATTTAATTCTTGATTTATAAAACGTTAAAAAAAGCTAAGACTTTATTCTTTGCAAGGGTAAGTACTTAATTTTTTTATATTATAATGTTAGAAATTGATTCACCTAAATAAATTATCGATTATTTACAAATTTTCAATTTGTATTTCAGTTAATATTAACATTTTTAATGGTAAACGGGAAGCTAAGTCTACTATTTTTATAAATTCACATCTATCTGTCACCACTCCTTCTTCTACCTTGATATACAAATTTTCATAACTTTTAAAATACTGTTCCAAAAGTTTTTATTGACCAGTCATTGTTTTTAGTTGGAACATTTTATAAAATTTAAGCAAGTAAAATATGTATATTGCCAATAAAAAAAAAAGTTGGTCCCTTATATTGGATAACAACTAAAAAAAATTAACTACTTTTAATTCATGAAATAAATACTAAATAAATAAGCCCAAAATGACAAATCTATCATTTATTTATTTTTTATTATTTAGCTTTAATATGTTTTTCATTAATATTTTATATATATTTATCACCTTATATGTTTCAGGTACTTTTGGAAAATATTTATGAAGAACTGAATCCTATATTAGATCCTATATTATTGAAACAAATTATTTTGACAAGTGGCTCTTATTGCTTAAAATTAGGAGATTCCATTATCCAATATAATGATAATTTTAGGTAATTTTCCTATTAAAATACAACAATATATTTGCTCTTAATTTCTTAATAAAATAGATTTTATATAACGACAAAGTTGCGAAATCCTCACTATTTACCAGAGATTGCTGTTAAAGTAACATTATTAAATTTTGTTATTACCCCAAATGGACTTGAAGATCAAATTTTAGGTGTAGTTGTAGCTAAAGATAGACCTGACTTGGAAGCAGAAAAAAATCAACTTATAGTAGAAGGCGCTAAAAATGCAAAGTAACAAAATAATTTCAATATGGTTTTTAACATTTTAATTTAAAAAGTGATATATGGTATAAACTATTTTGAAGTAGATTCATTGTTTTTCGTTACTTTACAGTTCCGTACGGCTATCATCCCATCAATTATTTTATTACGATTATTATTTAAACATAATCTAGACAATTTCCTAGTAAGGCAATGTATATTCTAAAAATTGACCATTTTTTCATTTTAATTTTTTAACTTAAATAATGTTGAATTCAAGGAAGATAAATAGGTATACAATAAATACATCAAATAAATTACGTGGGTTCTTGAATTTTTTGCATATGTAACATAAGGCGCGCTGCAGAATTAACGCAACAGTTATTGAAGAAATTTTATACCTATTTCAATAATGAACTTCATTTCATGATAGTCACATAATTAACATTGTATTAAGCTAAAACTAGTAATACTAACAAATTTATAATAATTCATCTATTTAACTCACTGAATAACTTGAAAATTAAATATTGAAAAACAATTTTTTTAATTTTTCAATTAAATGTAATAAAATGATATATGGATAACAACTTTTAGACGGGTACTTCGGAAGTTATAACAATTCCAAAATATGTATTGGATATAGGTGTGGAGTGGCTACTTTTATCATCAAATATTTTTCGTCGGCCTCCTACCGCTCATACATAAAAATGTTTATAACTTTCGAAATACTGATCTAAAAGTGGTTATCGACCACTAACTTTTTTTAACTATATAATTTTCTATTTTATAAGCTAATTAAATATTTGTGTGGTCACTAAAAAAAATTAAGTTGAAAACTTTTATTAAATATAAGAGATGATCTAACAAAGTAAACGATAATTGTTTTCAAAATAAAAATGTTTACGCATTTAAAGTAATATCGAGTGATTGACGTTAAAATAATTAAATTTTTGTTGTAATTTAGTAATTTATATTATGATCTAGATTTGATTAAACAGGTAAACTGAGTAAAAATTTATATATTTTAATAATATATCTTTTTGTATTCATTAAGAACCTTAAAAGACACAGAAGACAAAATTCTACAAGTTTTAAGTTCATCTGAAGGAAACATTCTTGAAGATGAAGGTGCCATTAATATATTAAGTTCTTCAAAAGTATTAGCTAATGATATTGAAGTTAAACAAGCTGCATCTTTAATAACTGAGAGAAGATTAGATCAAATAAGGCAACAATATAGAGTAGTCGCTGTACATTCAACTAAACTTTTCTTTATAATAGATACACTTGCAAATATTGACCCAATGTATCAATATTCTCTTTCTTGGTTTATTAATTTATTTATAGTAGCTATTGAAAATAGTTCTAAATTACCATCAATCGATCAAAGAACTGATGCACTTATAAAGTACTTTACATATTCGTTATATACCAGTGTTTGCCGCAGTCTATTTGAAAAAGTAAGAACAAATACATAAATCTGTACAACAGAGGTAAACTATCGCAAGACACGTTTACCACTGTTACTTGTAATAGTTTAACTCAAATGTAAAGGAATATTCAATGTTTATCATATTATAATATGTTATGTATACAACATATACTTCAAAATATTTTGAAGCATCCTCTACCGTAGGATTTTAAATTTAATTTAGAATACTTAGATTATTAATTTAAGATAAAAATGATTTAATCATCTTCTTATAAATTTCGATAGAAAAAATTTTTCATAATATTAGTAATTTGGTTATTCTATCAAATATCGCAAACCTGTTAAGTTTATTAATTGATATTAATTGGAACATAAAAATAAAAATGATTAACAGTTAAATTGCTAATTTTTTTTTTCATTTAATTTAGGATAAATTATTATTGTCATTATTAATGGCTACCAAATTATCCAACGAAATCATAATTGAAGAATGGTCATTTTTTTTAACAGGAGGTATCAGTTTGAATAATCCTTATAAAAATACTATAAGTTGGCTACAAAACAAAAGTTGGAATGAATTGTGTCGGTTGGATGATTTAGCATCTTTTAAAGTATTGTTATTTTTGTGAGAAAACTACTATCGTAACTCAAAAATTAATAAAATAAAATGAGAAGAGTGGGATAAAGTTAAGAGTGATAGTTACTTTTATTTGGGTATGTGATTCGTGGGTCATAAAATAACATCTTACCTGATAATTTTTCTTAGTGATTATAATATCTTAAATAAAGGTATTAATCAATAATTGATAAATAAAATATTACTATTCTATTTAGTTTATAACTCTGATACGTAAAAACTTCGACAATGATGATCACAATGTTTGTGTAACGTTGTCTAAAGCGCGATAAGAACAGACCAGAGTAGGGTTTACTCTGCCTTTTTATAATAATTTGTACCCCCAAAATCATCATTGTCTTATTCTTACAGTATAACTATTTATTGATAAGTAGGCATAAGATACAGAAATTATTACAGATGAATAGAATATATAAATCATTTTGACATTATATATATATATATATATAATATATACAGGGTGTTCAGTAAGTCAGGAAACGGGTATCTATTGTTCTCATTGTTTGTAACAATGAGAACAATAGAAACCCATTTCCTGACTTACTGAACACCCTGTATATCTTAAATTAAAGATTATGTAATATACTTTTNTTTATTGACTTACTGAAAACCCTGTATATGTATGTGTGTGTGTATAATATCAACATAGTTTTTTTACACATAAAATTAGGGTTGATACAATGCATTTAATTATTAAAATTAGAATAAAAATGATGACAAAAATAATTTATAGTTTTATTTTTGGAAGGATGTATTTTAAAGTGACCATTAATTCATTAATGAATCGTGTTATTACAATATAACTAAACAGTATGTGTTTGTTGAATGTTTTTCTTAAATTTTCATTTAAATTTTTGTTTGGAAAGGATTATGTCCTTCTAAGAATATAATGTATAAATATCTCATGTTAGTAACAAGTATATTACACTACAAAAAAAAATTAAAATTAAAATATAAAAAAGACAAAAAAAAATATATTTGTATTACAAAAGTCAATAAATAATAAAAAATAATTCTGTTATCTACATTATTTAAGTGAATTCTTTATGAAATTTTGACTCTGATTTCGAATTTAACTTAGGATTTTTTTTATCATATACTTTTTGAGAAAAAATAGTAAAAAATATCTGAAGCTTCGAAATCAGCTTCAAATTTCATATAAAATTTACCGAAGTATTGTATACAACATGCAAAATGGCTGTTGTGTTGTGCTGTGTTATTATTATGATTTAAACTTTAACTGAATACAATACTGAAAAGTTCATATTAAATTTAATACAAACGTTTTGTATTTAACATTAAAATTCATTTAATTATTAATAGATTAATTTAAAAATATAAAACAAAAAATTAAAGTAATTTATAATTTTATTCTTAAAATTTACAATTTTACTCTTCATCTCGTACTTTATTATGAAAACTGATTATTGCTATTTATTACCCTAAAAAAATGTCTGAAAGTATTGCTTTCCTCTGAAATTTTGAAATATTAGTTAACAAAATAAATTATTAATTTTTCACAAAAATAATTTAAATTTTATTAATAATTTGAATGAATAAGTAATCTAGAACAAAAATATATTACTTGATTTTTCTACTTTTTTATAAAAAAAATACAAATTAAGTAGTATTTTACTTTTAGAATATAAGACGTCATTTTGAATTAAACTCGGAAGAATGGAAAGCTATTTATAATTCAACCGAACCTCACATTTTTCCATTTCCTGAACCATGGAATAAAAATTTGAATTATTTTCAAAAATGCATTTTACTACGTGTAATCAGATATGACAAAATTGTCCCTGCTATTCAACATTTTATAGCCTGTAAGTTAATAATTATTTACTAATATACAGTGGGTCAAAAAAGTCTCTATACATCGATGTCAAATTTTTTCAACAACATAAAATAGCGACTCAAAAGTTAAATAACTTCATATTTATAACACACATTTACTCAGAAACATATTAATATTGGTTTTTAGAAAGCTGAAGCATATTTACTAATTTGTTTACTTAATACCTTTATAAATATAAACAATATTAGGAAAATGTGAGCAAAAAAAGTCTCCGTATATTTATAGATGTCTATTAATTACAGATAAAAATAGGAATATAATGGGAGAAACCCATATAGACTTATTCGTATGGAGTACCCATATCTGCGGGCATATCATTATTGTTTCTGTAGCCATTAAGGGCGGTAGACAAACGCTTAGCGCATTTTATTCAATTTATACACTTTGAACAATGGAGATACCTATTGCAATTCGCAAATTAGTAATTAAACTAAGAAAAGATGGTAATTCTCTTAGAAATATTGCACAAACAATAAATAAATCACATTCGACTGTACAATTTATAATAAACCGATATAATGAAACTGGTTCTTTCGAAAATCGAAAACGTAGTGGTCGTCCTCAAAAATTAAAATCTCATCACAGGAGGGCTATACTAAGAATAGTTGATACTGAACCAAAAACAAGTGCATCAAAACTTGCTGGTATGATTGATAATGACTATAATGTAAAAGTGGTGCCTCAAACAATTCGTAATGCCATTAAAAACGCAGGATATAAAGGTTGTGTAGCTAGGAAAAAACCTTCTATCAGTAAATTAAATAAAAAAAAACGTTTAGATTTTGCGAAGGTACACATAAACAAGGGAAATGATTTTTGGAAATCTGTATTATTTAGCGATGAAAGCAAATTTAATATTTTTGGTTTAGATGGGCGAGTTATGGTGTGGAGAAAACCTAACAAGCAAATGGAGTGTAAAAATTTGTGCCCGACGGTAAAACATGGGGGTGGTAATGTATTAGTTTGGGGCTGTATGAGCGCTGCAGGTGTTGGTAATTTGGTATTTATCAATGGTATAATGGATCAACATGTTTATATAAACATTTTGAGAAATAATTTGCATGCAAGTGTTGAAAAACTAAAAATTGGCAATTCGTTCATTTTTCAACAAGAAAACGACCCAAAACATACCGCGAAAAAAGTTAAAGAATGGTTGTTATACCGTGTATTAAAGCAACTTAACACACCTCTGCAATCACCAGACATGAATCCTATAGAACATTTATGGGATGAAATAGGTAGATGTCTAAAAAATTATCAAATTCGAAACAAAGAACAATTGAAAACAGCAATTCTTGAAGTATGGAACAGTATTGACTCAACTGTTACATTAAAATTAGTAGAATCCATGGAAAATCGTATGAATGAAGTTCTTAGGGCTAAAGGAGAGCCAACTGATTATTAATGATGATTATATAATTAAGTTAAAAATATTAATGTTAATTTGTACGAAGACTTTTTTGCTATTATTTTTCTAAAATTATTTATATATATATATTAGGGTGCCACTTATTTTTAACATCTGTAATTCTTATGAGCGCCGGTCAAAATTTTATTAGAAATACCTTAAATATAAATCATGTAAAGTTTCAGCCCATTTGAACAACTTTAACACGTGCCGATTTGAGCTTAAAGTTTTGTGTAAATTCGTAAAATCCGTTATTTTGACATATAGTCGTTACAATTTTCATTTTACAAAAAATTTTATAGGACAATAAATGTAGTACAAAACACGTTTTAAAAAAATGGTCTCTTAATATTTTTTTGTAAAGTGAACTCATTCTCAGAAAAATAACAAAATATGTGCGATTTCGCGTATTATAGAATACTCTTTTATCATATTATTGTAACAAAAATTATAATAGACTATAATAAATTAATTTCAATTTTATAAAAAAATAAATATTTTTAAAAAAAATTTATTCTTATTTCATTATTAATAAAACATACTTCATGTCTGTAAAATAACATGGACTTATGTAAAATTAAAAAATAAAAAATAAATAATATTAAATACAAAAAATCAANAATAAATAATATTAAATAAAAAAAATCAGAGGTTTTTTTTAAGAACATTTAGAGATGGATTCGGATATTTTTCACGATAATCTTGTATAGTCTAAAAATTAAAAATAAATAGCATTATTTATTATCAAAGCTATTAACTAATGTTATTTACCTGCAGAAGAAATTGTTATTGCTCTTTATTTTTTGTAATTTTATGATCAAATTCCTCAATAAGTTTAATTCCTCTTTCTGCTGCATCGTTGACAACTTTAAGTTTTTTAATTTTTTCCTCGCCATATTTATAATTAACTGAATTATTCATCGTGTTGGGATGAGTTTTTAAAAAATCACTATTTATATTGAATCTTTTAAACATCTTTAGAGATTTTTTACTAATAAGTTTAACTAAAATAGTTTTATCGTCATCATTAAAAATAAATGGAATGTCACCTTTTTTTTAAATTAGTTTTTTGGGGGTCTCAATCTCTTCTTCTATTTCATCTTCTTCATCGAAGATGTCTTCACATAATTTTTTAGCCATTCTCAATTTTGTATCATCGTCTACTCTTTGATCGAATAATGCAAAAGATAAACATTCTTCATTCAAATAATATAAATGATTTAAAAATTTTCTAATTGTAGCTTCAGAAATATCTTTATTCATTTTAGAATATTCATGCAATTTTCTTAAAAATCTGATGTCATTTAAAGGAGCCATTTCACTGTTTGAGGCTGTAAACCAGTTCACAGCGTAACATTTTATAATAAAGCAATTAAGTTCTGCGAGAGAATTTTCCTCAAGTTTAGTTAACTTAAATTGATTTCTAAATAAGAAAATTTTTAGGCCGTGTACACCTTTAGTCATCCAACGTGATAAATGGTATGCTCCTGGTTTTTTTAATTTTATTCCTTCTGGAGGGACACCCCCCAAAAAAATAATAATTAAAATAAGAAATTCTTTATAAGCATCTCGCGTAAACGATAAATTAAGTCTATCAAAACAAAACTTTAAAATTTCATCAATATAATTATTTAAAATATGTCGAACTCTAGCATGAGAAATTCCAGTAGAAAAATCAGTTTTTATAATGGTATCCCACTGATTTTTAAATTTTTTAAATAGCGGAATATCATGTCCTGACATGACGCTTACTTTACAAATCGTAAAAACTGTTGATAATATTATTTCGTATATATGATGACGACAAACCGAAAAACAATATATCTCGTTCAATTTTCCTTTCTAATAAGGAACAAGCACCATTAAATTTCCCAGTGTTAGATGCTGTTGTATCAAAAACAAACGCTTGGATATTATTTATCAATCCCCAGCTATCAATAACTTCATAAATAGCGGAGCATATTTCTAAACCAGTTCCAGCGGGTATTTCTGGTACTCCTAAAAGTTTGTCAACTGCATGGGACGTTGCAATTACTGCTAATCTATCGACTTTTTGTCCAATAATGTTACTTAATAATTTTGTGTCCCAATGTATTGTTACAACATCTTTTTCTATACTTAAATAATTTTTTCTTACCTTTTCATAGTAAGTTCTTCGATAATCATCTCTTGCTTTACGGATAGATGTACGATTAATTATATAATCAGCTGAATCTAATGAAACTGTATCCAAAAAAGCTGTAAGTAAATGGACCGTATCTCTCTCACTTATTTTACATTTATCAAGTACTGCAGCTAATCGTGGTGTTAAAATTTCTTTACGAGCTCGTTTAGGTTTTACAACTATCAACTTCAGAATTTGGAATTTTTTCTTCATTTTCAAACTCCATTACTGACTCAAAATCATCAATTATACCGTCTCTAATATTTTGAATGTTTTTTTCTTCATTTAATTTTACATGAATATCGCATTCATCAAAATCTGAATAATGTATAATTCCTGTGAAATATAGTATTGATTTTTAGTTTTACTGTCTTAAATTAAAAAATTAAAAATTGTATGTTTTATTAATTTAATTGAGTTTACCAGTTGACGTAGACGGCGTATTTAAATACTTTTCACGCCTAGTGTTAATCTCTTCTTCACGAGTAAATTTTCGTTTTTCAATCCCACTTAGTTTTCTATCTACTCCCAACATTGAACCTGGACGTCCTTTTTCTCTTTGTTTATTTAAAAATAGCCTATCTTCTTCAATTTTAATCAATTCGAGTGCGTTTTGGTGGGCTATATCAAATAAATCATTGATTTTTTCTAAAAACATATTTTCTTTTAGTCTTAAACTATCAGAAATTTTGTTTCCATTTTTTGTTAATGATCTCCATTCCTCATACAACTTTTTCAACTTGTCTTTACATTTATGAGGTTCTTGAGTCTGTATTCGAGCTTTCTTCCAAAAAACTAAACATTCTTCTAAAACTAGAGCAGCACTTTCGTTTAAATTTAATTTTATATATCTCATATTATACATTAAAACTTTTAAACAATCTCCTCTAGATGGTAATTTACTTCCCGTGATTTGATGTTCCATATGGCCGATTATAAAAATTTTTTTACGAAGTGGCATTTTAATTAATTAAATAATAAAACCCCCCCCCAAAAAAACTTAAAATAAAAGTACTTTTACTGATTTACAAACAACTCTTAAACCTACTAGACAACAATAAGTATGACTTCAAGAGAAATAATTTTCAATAAATGGTAATGATTCTATTTACAATTACTTTATTGGATCAAAAAAGTTCCATTTAGATAACGTTAGAGGTACACGGTAAATGTAAAATAAAAGAATCGAATATTGCACATGTATGATTATTATCGTACTTGGACAATTCAACGATTCCCGAGATTACTATTTTATGAGTCAGTATATGTGATAAAAGTGACATTTATAAATTTTAACTTAAACTTAAAATGATGTTCATAATAATAACAAAAATTTTATTGTCGTTTATAAATAAGAAACCGTATTAAAAATATAGTTATACAACACATTTTAATAAAGGCTATAAAAAAAAAAAAAACTATACAACACTAAAGTTATGTTTATTCTATAAAACGCGAAATCGCACATATTTTGTTATTTTTCTGAGAATGAGTTCACTTTACAAAAAAATATTAAGAGACCATTTTTTTAAAACGTGTTTTGTACTACATTTATTGTCCTATAAAATTTTTTGTAAAATGAAAATTGTAACGACTATATGTCAAAATAACGGATTTTACGAATTTACACAAAACTTTAAGCTCAAATCGGCACGTGTTAAAGTTGTTCAAATGGGCTGAAACTTTACATGATTTATATTTAAGGTATTTCTAATAAAATTTTGACCGGCGCTCATAAGAATTACA